TGGATAATAGTTTCATATGACACTAATTTAGGGCAGAATTGATCTAATTTGATCTTGGTCATAGATGTACCTTACCAACACTTTATCAACTAATTAGTACGCTAGCCAATATGTAATATTTATTGAACAAGTATTAAGTGAGACTACTGAGCAAACCAAGTATTGCAAATAAAAGTTATATGTCGCATAATGAATCATAGAAAATCATCTGTATAATATAAAAATCATAAATACAACATTCGTTAATTTTTAGTTGCAACAAAAAATAATTTGTGATACATAAAAAATTCCTTTGTTGTAGTTAAAAATAAAAAAAAGTTATTTTTCTTTTTAATAAAGGTAGTACTTTAATTTGATCTCATATTTTGTATTATATTAATATGATAATATGACGCATTATGCACCCAAAAAAAAATATGACACTTTCATAGTTTCATACCTCATGCCAAACTTGGTAATATAAGCAATCTTGTAAGAGATTTGAATGATAATTATCTAAATTAGTACTTCGTATAACAGAAAGTGTTTGGAGATCTATAAAAAGGCCAAAGCATGCACTCAGTTGACCAGAACATTGCACTTTTAACTTTGGGGATTCAGCTAAATATAGATTTCACGAGCCAAATCAACAACATTTTTATTTTATTTTATTTTATTTATTTATTTATTTTTTTTGAAGAAAAAAGTTATAGTGGATGAACAATATCATAAGTAGACATCCATCTCCCATCTTTTTTTTTTTTTTGAAAAAAAACCTCCCACGCATGCATCTAAATCTTTGAATGAATTTTGTAATAAGTTGCTATATTGCATGAAGAATATACAATTTATGTCATATTATCATCAAAATAAAAATAATTATAGTTATCGTATATGTACTCAAACCATTTTGAATCCCTTTTAAATTAACAAACACCTACCATGAACCAAATAGAAAGGTCAGGATACTAAAAAAAATAGAGAAAAGTAAAGTAATATATAGCTAGAGGAAAAATCCCATATTAAAAGAATTAAGGAAGAGTTGTAACCCTATTCTACATGGAATGATATTATAAATTTTAATTGATTAATCAGTTGGTTAATAAATGAATTTTGTTTTACAAAAAACCTACAATTGAGCTTAGCTTCACAAAATTTTATGAGAGAATGATGAAATAGAGAGTAGGAATCAAGCCTTAATATTGTTTGTCTGCTAGTGCTGCAGGGTAGTTTTTCCTCTTTTGTCTTTTGTTGCATGAGCTGTAAGTTTTCTAGTGGTTTGTCACTAGGTTGTGTAGCAGGGTGTCATATATAAGGCACAGAAATGATTGTAGCTGTGATTCAGAAAAAATTCACACAAAAATAACTAAATGAAAAGAACCTGCTCTTATCGTATTGGCTGATGCTGCTATTCTGTTTTTGCTAAAAATCGTGCCTTTATGTTTCTCATCATGGTATCAGAGCATCAGGTCAGTAAATTAACAGCATTCATATAGAAAAGTTTAAAGTTTTATTCTTTAATGTTTAAAACTGTAGATTCGTAGGAGAAACATATAAAGGTGATATTTTTATTGTTAAAATATGTTGACTGTAATAGAGACCAACAACCCTCTATATTTGCACCCCTCTGATGGAAGCAATTCTATCAGCATAGAAAAGCTATAAGGAGTAAGTAATTACAGGTCTTGGAAAAGATCAATGGAAATCAGTTTAGGATCCAAAAGGAAATATGGTTTTGTGACTGGAACTGTAGGAAGAGATCTGAGTGATCGAATAAAACAAGAAGCATGGGATACTTGTAATAATATGATAATAGCCCGGATATTGGGAAATGTATCAGATTCTATTAAGAAGTCTATCATGTTTATTAGCAACTGCTCTCAGATCTGGAGACAGCTTGAGCAAAGATATGTTGTTGCAAATGGTTCAAGGAAGTATCAATTGAACAAAGAAATATATGAAACAAAGCAGTCAGGTAAAAGTGTGACTGACTACTACACAGATTTAAAGATTCTGTGGGAGGAGCTAGAGAGCATGACAAGTCTACCCCCCATTACCACCACTAATGCAGAAATTACTGCATTTCTCACTGCACTGAATCAACATTAGGATGAGCAGAAGTTGTTTCAGTTCTTGAATGGATTGGATGAAATTTACAGTCAACAGAGAAGTCATTTACTCATGCAGACACCTTTGCCTAGTGTTGATTCGGCATGTAACACTCTGCATCAGGAGGAGAATCAGAGAACAGTGCTGAAAAATGTGAAAGAAGAAGCAGAACCCCTAGCAATGTTTAGCAAGGGAAGCAATAAATCAATGACAGGAGAAGTATCTTGCACACACTGTGGCAAGATTGGTCATCTCAGGGAGAAGTGCTGGTATCTAAAGGGATTTCCAAATGGACATCCAAAAGCTCAAAAGGAATCTAGAGTGAGCTACAACAGAGGTGGCTTCACTGGTGGATACAGAGGTTGAAGAGGAAATAGAGGAGGAGGTAGAGCAGGAAGAGGTGGAAGAACTGCTGCGAATGTGCAAACAGAAACAGGTAGTACAAGCAATAACTCATCTGCTCTGCCATTTAATGCAAGTCAACTAGAGCAACTGGTAAATATGTGGCCAAATGTGGGAAAATCTGCTGGAACAGGACAGGAAGAAGACGATCTTGACTTCACATATGCAGGGATGGTGAGCTGTCATTTTGTCAATGCAGCAAGTACGGCGTGGATCATTGATTCAGGAGCATCAGATCATATGACATGCAACTTGAAAGTGCTTGAAAATGCTGAGAAATGCAGAAGTGAAGCAAAAATTAATCTCCCAACAGGTCACACATCTGGAATCACTCACAAAGGATGTGTGAGCCTAAAGAATGGGATAAAACTCAAAGAAGTCTTGTATGTACCTGTTTTCAAGCATAGTCTATTGTCTGTACAAAAGTTGGTGGAGAATGAGTCATGCATAGTAGACTTCCATGCTTAGTACTGTGTAATACAAGACAAGAAAAGTGGAGAGATCAGAGGGTTAGGTAAGGCTGAGAATGGTCTATACTATCTCATAAATGAATCAATGAAGATTGTGATCAATGGTCTGTACTGTGAACTGAAGAAACTTGATGAGAAAGTGGCATTAAACTCAACAGTGACCCTTCCGGGACTGTGAGAAATGTAAACAAGCTGAGTGAACCAACCCTCTGGCACCAGAGGTTAGGTCATGCACCCATGACAAAAATTAGAAAGATAGAAGATTTGAAAGGGATTGACAAGAGATGTGAGGATGTGTGTCTGACATGTCCAGTTGCCAAGTTCACAAAGTTGCCCTATATATTGAGAAACTCTAGAGCAAAACAAGCTTTTGAGCTGATTCACATAGATATCCGGGGAGCATATAAAGTGCCAACTAGATTCAATCAGAGGTACTTTCTGACAATAGTGGATGACTTCTCCAGGGTTACATGGATAAAATTGCTGAAAGAAAAATCTCAAGCATTTAGTGCTATAGAAGAATTTTTTTATATGAGTAAAACTCAGTATGGAAAGAAAGTGAAAAACATAAGATCTGACAATGCACTGGAATTTGATGATGAGTGTTGCAAGAAGTTGTTCTGGAGATTGGGAATTGTGCATCAGACAAGTTGTGTAGACAGACCACAACAAAATGGAAGAGTTGAAAGGAAACATAGGAATATCTTGGAGATGGAAAGAGCTCTAAGAGTACAAGCTGGAATTCCATTGCAGTACTGGGGTGACAGTGTGCAGACAGCTGTTTACATCATCAACAAACTTCCCACACCACTCTTGAACCACAAGAGTCCCTATGAGGTACTCACTGAAACTAAACCTGTTTACAGTCATATGAAAGTATTTGGATGTTTGGCTATGGCTAGTAATCCAAGTAGAAATGCAGACAAGTTTAGCATGAGGGGTGTACCATGTGTGTTTTTAGGGTATCCTCTGAATCAAAAGGGATACAGACTGTTAAACTTGACTGAAAACAAAATTTTTGTGAGTAGAGATGTAAAATTTCATGAATCCATTTGTCCTTACAAACTATTTCATCCTCATAGTAAAACTTAGTCAGAAATTATAGACAATACTGGAATTTGTATTGATAATAAGGGAATAGTAGATGATGAGAGGATTACATTGGAGGGAGATGAAAATTTAGATCATGTAGAGGAGGAAGAAACTGAGGAAAACATTGCTCAACCTGATGATCAGAATGATGATGGGGAAGGAATGAGAAGAAGCACTAGACCACATGTGCCCCCCAAATGGCACAAAGACTATGTTGTAGGAAAAACCTCAACCAATTTATCTGTTAAAACTGTCCCAGAAAAAATACAAACCATTGCTAATATCCCACCCAGCAATACCTTTTCTGTTTTGATGTCTGAAGTCATAAAAACCTCTGAGCCAAAATCTTTCAAACAAGCTATGAAGAAACAGGAGTGGGTTAATGCAATGAATGAGGAATTAGAAGCCTTGGATAACAATAACACTTGGGAAATAACTGATCTTCCTGAAGGAAAAAGGGCTATAGGTTGTAAATGGCTGTACAAAACCAAATACAAGCCAAATGGAGAGAAAGAGAGAGACAAGTCAAGACTTGTCATTCTAGGGAACAAGCAAGTGTATGGTGTTGACTATGACCAAACATTTGCACCTGTGGCAAATATGACCACTGTAAGGTCTCTGCTTGCTGTTGCTGCTCTCGAAGAGTGGATTGTGCATCAAATAGATGTCAACAATGCATTTTTACATGGTGAATTGCAGGAAGATGTGTACATGAAGTTACCTCAAGGGTATACAGGAATTGGAAGCAGAGTGAGTGTTCAAGGAGAGGGGGAGCAAACTGACCAGAAAACTGACAAAGTTTGCAAACTAAAGAAGTCTTTGTATGGACTTAAACAAGCCCCTAGATAGTGGTTTGCAAAATTGAGTGGAGCCCTGAAAAGCAATATGTTCCTGCAGTCAAAATCAGATTACTCCTTGTTCACTAAGAAAAGAGGGAAAAGCTTGACAATGATCCTAGTCTATGTTGATGATCTGATAGTTGCTGGAAATGACATGAAGGAAATCAATGAAGCAAAGATGTTCCTTGCATCTCAGTTTAACATGAAAGACATGGGTGAATTGAGATACTTTCTTGGAATTGAAGTAGACAGAAGTGAACAAGGGATGTTCTTGTCTCAAAGAAAGTATATCACAGATATACTGGAAGAATATGACATGATGAATGTCAGACCTCTCAAGCTTCCCATGGATGCACATCTAAAACTGAGAGTTGATAGTGGAAATGTCATGGCTGACCCTGAACCATATCAAAGGCTAATAGGCAGACTCATCTACCTCACTATCACAAGACCTGACATATCCTTTACAGTTCATGTGCTAAGCAAATTTATGCACAAGCCAACTGATGTTCACTATCAGTGTGCTGTAAGAGTTCTAAGATATTTGTCAGGGACAATTCAACAAGGAATTCTCTTAGCATCACAAGGAAGTGCTGAACTCAAAGCCTACTGTGACAGTGACTGGGCAGGATGCCAAAGCACTAGAAGATCTACATCAGGATTTTGCATTCTCCTTGGGAGATCTCCAGTCTCTTGGAAATCAAAGAGACAGTCTACAGTTGCAAAAAGTACTGCGGAAACAGAATACAGATCAATGGCATTGACAGTGTGTGAAGTGATGTGGCTCAAGGAATTGCTGAAGGATCTGGGAATGTCAAAGCTAGGCACAACATCCATATTCTGTGATAATCAAGCTGCATTAGCTATTGCAGCAAATCCTGTGCATCATGAGAAAACAAAACATGTTGACATTGACTGTCATTTTATTCGAGAAAAGTTCAGTGATGGGATCATAGCTCCTACCTATGTTCACAACTCTCAACAACTTGCAGATATGTTTACTAAGATTCTCTCGGTTGAACAAATGAATCAACTAATGACCAAGCTTGGAGTTCAGCCTCAGTCTTCACTCTCAGCTTGAGGGGGAGTGATGAAATAGAGAGTAGGAATCAAGCCTTAATATTGTTTGTCTGCTAGTGTTGCAGGGTAGTTTTTCCTCTTTTGTCTTTTGTTGCATGAGCTGTAAGTTTTCTAGTGGTTTGTCACTAGGGTTGTGTAGCAGGGTGTCATATATAAGGCACAGAAATGATTGTAGCTGTGATTCAGAAAAAATTCACACAAAAATGACTAAATGAAAAGATCCTGCTCTCATCATATTGGCTGATGCTGCTATTCTGTTTTTGCTAAAAATCGTGCCTTTATGTTTCTCATCAGAGAACAAGAGGATAGACAAAAAAAGAACATGATTTAATTCTCGAGTCGTGTTTGGAGGTTTGTGGCCAATTTAACGGCGGAGCCATTAATTAATAAGGTGCATGAAATGTCAACCGACATCCATGTATAATTTAGTTCTATGTCTTAAAAAGTTATCTATACGATGTAAATAAATTATACACGTATTTATTTGACACTTCATGCATGGTCATAAAAATCGACCCCCATCTTCAAAATCTTCATAACTCCATTTGCCACATATAAAATGTGGGCGATATATGTTTCAAAACTACTCACTTCATTTTAAGGGGCCAATATGATCATATGTATCCATAAAAACTTCAAGGCATGATGAGGAGTGAACAATTTGTATAGCATATTTCAACTTCGACAATTGACCCCCACCTTATTTCAAGTGGAGAAGGCTGGAGCGCATGAGCTTTGCAAATTTATGGAAAAGCATTATTTGTTACACCTTTTATAAACTCTAATAATACTTTGGTAAGCTTTTTACCGTTTATTTACCCCCACAATATATAAGTCAATAAGTGTTACAATGGTACAATATTATTGTACCCTACACATTTCTAGTATGTTTCAAGATATTTCATTTGCTCCATTATACTTGCAATAATATATTAATATGCATATTGTCTCACATATTTTTGTTTGACTATCTATAGTGATTGATATATAAGGTAACAGATAGTTAAGTGAAATCTTATTAATTTCAATTCAATGTATTTTTTATAATATCAACTTGTTAAGGTTTGCAATTATCGTTGTAATTTCTGCTACTCCTTTTTACGCGACTTGCAACATAATTCCTAGGTAAATAGAGAAGATACATGTACAACTTATCAAGAGTTTGATGATCTGACTCACTCCTCTTACTAGTGTTCTTTAAGTAACGACAAAAAAATACAAAAACATGGATCATGCATATCTTAAGATGGATCTACAAGAACGAAAAACTAAACAAAATGAGGTAAGTGCAAGGGTAAAAGTGATGAAAAGATACGAATCTATATGTAATAATAGGTGGGCCGTTATTTTCTTGTGTATCTATCTTTTGATCACTTTCTATGCAAGAGTGATCACCATTACTATTACTTTGGCCCATGCTAGATAATCTTAGCAAATAGAGCCAAATTTTTAAAGACGGAGTATTGATATTATGGTCTTGGAAATTAAAATTAGGATGTTTGTAATTTACTCCATACATGTATATATCTACGAGAAAGAAAAAGAATGATTATTCTCATCAATTTTTCCTATATTTTAAACTTGCATCATCTTGTTAAATTAATTGACAGTCTGACACACCATACAACTAAGTGACTTCCTCGCATTTAATATTTTTTGAATGTAGATAAATATGAAACTGTTGCTACCATGACGGAATATGCCTATAAATCATTTTGAATGTAGACTTTTTATAGCATAAACATATCTATCATTTTCATGCCTTACATAGCTTAGCAAATAGTACGACTTAGTGGTTGAAGTGTCACTTAGATTTCCTTATGATGAGATTGACTGCTTTTAAAACCTTTTTTCATTAGCCAAATTGGCTTTTTTACTAATGCATGCTCCGGATAAAGGGGGGAGTTACTGTTTCTAAGAATGCCAATCAATGTAAAGATGCTTAAAAAAATAAAGTGATCGTGATTACTTGACCCCCTTCCTTAAAAAGAAGGTCAAAACAAACTGCTTATGGAGGCAATGGATTCATTTTACTAGCTCCATTAGTTTGTTCCACATAATTAACGGAGGGAGTATATGTTTGTGTTTAATTACTATCTAGCAGCGAGCATATAACTGGTGTAATATTAATAAGTTAACACGAACCTATATTACAAGAGAGTATATCTATATATAAACTTAACAATATGATACATCATACCACGGTTGTTGTAATGAACTTGATAGAGAATATCCATAGAATATTCTCATCCTAGGTTTAGGATATATTTTGTATAAGATTATCTTTGATATCTGTACATATCTTATAGTTACCTAATATGATTAGGTTTCTCATTGTAACCCTATAAATCACTCGAATTAAGGAGTTTACATTATCTGACATGGTATCACAGCTTAGGTTAGATTTTGGGATCATATACAAAAATTCGCACCCTGCCGGCGGGATGTACAAAGTTTTTTATGCTTCCACAAACACACATATAGATTTTTTTTTTCTTTTCTCAAAGTTTTTTTTTAGAATCTTTATGTAACCTTGCGCCTCCTACCAACAGTAGCAATCGCAAAAGCCTCCACCATCGTTGTTGACAATCGCATACACTACCGCCTCCCACTACTGGCAGTAACCACATATGCCAACCTACTCCATGTGTCGCACTCTATTTCCACCTCCCCATGACCAACAATGATCCTTACATTGCCTCATTGTTTTTTTTTTACACATAATCACATAGATTTTGTTTTGGTGGTGGTATATCACAATAAGGTCAACTTTTGCACATCTCTTTTGCTATCAAGTTAGCTCCTTTTATTGTTGCAGCACTTGGAATCTTTGTGGAGTATTAATTCTTGCTACCTGGTTTCTCTTTTGAGAATTGATTAATTTCAAGCGGTGGGATTTAATCTTTTCTTGCGCAATTTTATTTGTTTTTCTTCAACTGTGATTTCACGTAGTAGTGTAGTGTCTTCTCCCCGATGATGGTCTGATCCCTTAGCTTCTTCTTCTCTGGATCTGCAACTTAGCCCAAGTATATGCGTGACTCTTCTCCTTTGGCCTAAAAGCGCATATCTCTACTATACGTAGGTCGTGGTTGGTGCTTCTCATCGTCATCACCAGCACACATCACGTCTACTACTTCTCTTTTGATCATGGGTTACTATACTATCCTTACCGTTCGATGCGTGATTCAGATCCAGTCTGAGCATCCGATTTTCTCCTGCTCCGACTGCGGGGGTGTGATAGAGAATATCCATAGAATATTCTCAGTCTAGGTTTAGGATATATTTTGTATAACATTATCTTTGATATCTGTACATATCTTATTGTTACCTAATATGATTAGGTTTCTCATTGTAACCCTATAAATATTGATCAATGGAAATCACTCTAATCAAGGAGTTTATATTATCTTATAGAACTAATGATCCAATGATAAAGGATCATGTATGAATATTGAGTTATGTAACAGGTAGCACATAGCTTTGGATACAAAACTAGCCACTCCGTGAAACAGGCTACAAACAATTGTTTTAATAAGCTCCAAGTTGTCTTATTAGCTACACATGCAAATAATTTTTTAGTTGTATTAGCTAATTGTCTAATAATCATAATAATGTTAGCTCTCATAAATTAGCTGCTGTTGAATCAATATATAATTTTTTAATTAAAAGTGGTAAGTGGTTGTTAAATCACATTAATTTTTTTTGGTCGATTTAAGTTAGCTTGATTTTGGTTCAAGTCAAAGACTCAATACTGCTTCGTATAAGATAATCCTAAAGTCAAGTTTAGTTTTGATGAAAAAAGGAAATATGCTTGCTTTCAAGTATGTCCCTACTCATTGTGGCCTTGTGGGCCGGGGTTTATATGGAGTTTGATCCTTAACCTACTTTACAACCTAAAAGACTTCGCAAATATTAGATTGATTTTTAACATAAAAAGGGATGAATTTGGTTAAATGTATAGAATGCTATATTCATATATACTTTTAATTTGAGAGTGATTGGGGAATGAATAATAGCTCAAGTGATTAAATCTTCCTTTCCAATTCTAGGAGATTTCGGGATCGATTCTCATCACCCGTCATTATGGCTCTTTAAGCAAGTGGACAGTTAATGAATGAGATTTGAATTTGGGATCTTCTTGTCACGTTGACTCTTGGTGATTACGTATCATGTTAAAAGACCAACTCAAACAAAAACTTAAGCTAATTATGGTAGCTTTAAATTAGTTTTATACACAATCACAAACAAATAAAAAATCTATTACTTCTCAGAAAATTTCTTCTTCCTATGTTTTTTGATGTTTAGTGCAATTCCAACTTAAAGCATGCATGATTCTTCCTATCTTAAATCAATGATTTGACTACATGCCATTTAAAAAGACTACTAATTGAGTAGTTTCTCAAAAGCTAGACCCTTTTCTTTTACAAGATCTTCATACTTAAGAACCCTAACACCTAAAGATTGCTTCTAAACTCTATTTGAAACCTTGTCTTTCCTAAAGATCTCACTTAATAACTTTTACACTTGGTCAAGATCACTTTTTTTCTCCCACAAACTTTCATTCAAAAAATCATGGTGTAGATCTCACTTAATAACATTTACCAAAATTTTATAGAAGTGGTCCTTCCTAACTTTTCTTCATCATTCACATGAATAAGTGACATGATAGTAAATCCAACCACAATACCCTATATTCGCCCCAAAAAAAAAAAAAAATTGTTTCTCTCTAAATTTTCATCCCACGAAAAAAATATTTTGGTTTCCCCCTTGATTTGAGCTCATTTAATATTTTAATATTATGGTTTTCATTATCTTCTCTTTACTCTCTTGTTAAATTATGGTCCCACCCCAATTGAAAAACAATAAACAATTCTCACAATTTTGTTTTTTTAAAACTTAAACTTAACAAAATCATGTTTCTTGGAGATCAAAGTAGGAATTTTTTATGACAGAGGGAGTAATTTATAGCTTACTTCGTTTCATCAAAAATTATTTTCAAATAAATGGATTTAGGTTCGGCATGAGATGGCCCAATGCGTCAAGCAAAACTACCTAAAAAAAGGGCTTTAGTATTAAATTGATGGGCTAAAGATTGGGCCTTATATTGCAAATTCTTGGCTGCATTCTAGTGCAGCCAAGCTAGCTACAACACCATTAAATGTGAACATATATTACGTTAAAATGAACATACTTTTTTTTTTCTTCCTTATATCTTAATTCTCTTTCTTCTTCTTCCTTAGCTCTATTATTTTTCTCTCTTCAGTTTTCTTTTCAATTTAACATTTTCTCTCTCCTCTTTACCTCATTTCCGTTCAATCTTTAAAGTTTTCTTCTTCTTTATATAAATTTTTGAGTTACTAATTCGTGTTTTGATGGGTATACTTCATTCTTTCTAAATCTATGAGTTTTAGATTCAATCATTTGGCTTTATCAAAGAGGAAAGAAAAAAAATGGAGGAGAGAGAAAGTTGAAGGTCAAAGAAAACAATGGAGGTTAGATTTTATCAATTTGTAATTGTATTTGTATGATTTCGTTGACCATGCATGATGACTTATTGTTTGATTGTTTGAAATTATTATGAGTTTGTGATGAATATCAATTAAATTGCTTAATTGTTAATGAATATCAATTGTATTGCTTAATTTGTAGTTATTTTCTCCCCCCCCCCTCTCTCTCTCTCTCTCTTTTTCTTTCGATTTTTTTCTTTTGATTTCTAATCATGTTACAAATCAATAATTAATTTCTTTATGATGAATCAAGATTAGATTTAAGGTGTATATTCATTTTTTTAGAGTTTCAATAATTACAATCGATCTTGAATATAATTTCTGTAAAAAAAAAATGAACACGTAGGAAGTTAAAAATGAACAACTTTTACAAAATGAGCATTTAGTATAACGAAAATGAATATTAAATTCATAAAAAATGAACATATTTCAACAATTTATTTTATCATTATTTTTCATTAATAATTATATACAATGAATTTGAACCTTTATGAAAATCATGTTCATTTTAATATCCTAAATGTTCATAACTTTTTGTTACATGTTCATTTTATAAGTGTTTATTTTTTAATACTAAATGTTCATTTTTATTAAGTTGAAAGTAAAATATAATACGTTGAAATTTAAATTATCTGAACATTTAGTGTTGAAATTCTGAACAATTTATTATGAATATATATGTTTTCGTTATTCATTATGAACATATCTGTTATTGATTATGAACACATATGACATATAGAGTGATAATTATTTATATTTTTAACTTCTGTATTGATGATTATATATTATGAACATTCTAAATAATTATTATGAACATATGTTGTGATGGTTATGAATTTTGATTATTTGTTATATTTTAGTGAGTACAAATTACTTGTATTTGTAGAAGACAGACTCTGAATTAGTGAAGAAACAAGTAAGAAGTGATGAAGAAGTATATGATATTACAATGAATTTGCCTTTAAGTTGGAGAATTTTTGATGTATATGATCCCAATCTTATGGTTGTATAATAAATGTTCATTTCTAATATATTAAATGTTCATTTTTTTTGACATGTTCACTTTTTATTACTAAATGTTCATTTTTTTTATGTGTTCATTTTTATTACTGAATATTCTTTTTTTTTTTATGTGTTCATTTTTCTAACTAAATGTTCATTTTTAAGGTCGTGGTCTAGCAAATTTATGATTATATGATAATCAGATTCATTTTTAATAAATGATCATTTCCTTATAACATATAAACTTTTTAGTATTAAATGTTCATTTTTTTACGTGTTCATATTAAATATTCATTTTTTTTTTCATGTTCATATTTTTTAATTAAATATTCATTTTTTATTTGTGCCGCGCGTTTTGGACCTCACTTATTGTAGCTATCTTAGCTGCACTAGAGTGCAGCCAAGACCAATTGGCCTTGTATCTCATATTGTGAATAATGGATCTCGGCCCAAATATATGAAGCCCATTTATTTCCGAAACTCCGTAGTTGCTTATCAAGAAAAAGTGGAAAACCATGCCAGAGTGTTTCTCCGCCGTTTCAACCTCCAGCAACAGCCATATCAGAGGTTTATCATGCTGATTTCTGGTAAATTTTCTGTTTAATTGCTTTAATTTAACTCGAAACTTTAGTTATTATACATTTTTTTTGGGTGAAAGCTTGAAACTTTACTATGACTTTGTTATTGCATTTAACCATGTTTGATTTTGGAAAATTAATGTATTTAGATAATTTGTTGCTTGATTGATTTCTGTTACATAGTCATTGGAAAGATAGTTTAGGAATTGAAATATGCAATCTAGAATCTTTGAGTTGTAATTGAAATTTGGCATTTTGTTGAATTAATGAAGAGTTAATTATGTTTTTGTGAGAGAATTATATTTTTCATATTGCTGATAAATTCATATTTGTGTGTTAAGTTAATTCAAATGTCTGTTTTGGTAACCCTGTATACCCATATATGCCTTGTTTAACTTCTTTTTTTTTTTTTCAAATGATTTATTTTGGGTTCTGAATTTGGCTATTTTCATGACTTTAATGTGTGATAATTATTGGTCCATGTAGTTCTGAATCTTCTGATGCAAGATGGTTGACAGAAATCATGGCAGTAGATTTCTGTTTTGAAAAAAAAAAATCGATTATTGGAACTTCTGCTGAATTTTTTTTTTCCAAGGTCTTTTTTGTTTTAGGTTGATTAAAAGTAAATACTAGGTTAAGTTGGATGGATTCTGTGCAAGTGTATTGTTATTGAAGACATGAAATTGGCACTTATTCCGAAACTTTTGCTTTCTCTTACATCTTGTATTGATTTGTGTTGTTTCTTTCTTGTCAATCTTGTGGTCTGTTGGAGTATTTAAGGCGGGGTTGTGTATCTTCCGGTAGTCTCAATGTCACCAGATAGGGGAAAATGGAATTAGCAAGTTTAAGAGGCGCCCTAGTGCAGGTCTGCAGGATCGTGCAAGGTTCCCTTTTTACATTCGGAATATAGGCATAAATATTTGGTTTTATACGGGAATGGAATTGGGTTGGCCTAGATTTTTGATGATGTAAATTCAGAGGTTGGATTCATTATTAAAAATTTGTTGTTTACGGATACTGTCTGTATGCCTCTCTCCCAAGTCAGTACATTATTGAACAAGTGTTTGACAGTGAACCACACAAAGCAAATCCACGCTCAGCTTGTTGTCAACAGTCTTTGTGATCTTGAGAATGAATTGGTTTGCCGACTAGCTACATCTCTCCTTAATTTTACTCCAGCTATTGTTCATTATGTCCAAACCATCCTCCACCAACTGCAACATCCTGATTGCTTTTCTTGGTCTTGTGTTATACGTTCTTTTGCTCAACATGGGCAATTCAAAGAGGCATTCTTCCTTCATGTTCAAATGCAAAAATTGGGATTGCATCCTAGTACGTATTCAACTTCATCTTCTTTGAGATCATGTGCTCGAATTCCTTATGAGGTTGGAGGCATATGCATTCATGCACAGGTTTACAAATATGAAATCCTTCATAGTGTCTATGTGCAAACAGCTCTTCTGGACTTTTATGCTAAACTGGGTGATATGAAGGCTGCCCAGAAGGTCTTTGATGAGATAGACCAGAAGAATGTGGTTTCTTGGAATTCGCTGTTAGCAGGGTATTTGAAATCTGACCTGTCGATAGCAGAACAGTTGTTTGATAAAATGCCTTTCAAAGATATTGTTTCCTGGAACTCGATGCTTTCAGGCTATGCAAGGGCAGGGGAGATGGATAGAGCATATATCTTATTCCAGCAGATGCCTGATAGAAATTTAGCCTCCTGGAATGCTATGATCAGTGGGTATGTGGAATGTGGGAAAATGGATATGGCACGGAGGTTTTTTGATGATATGCCTCGAAGAAACAATATTTCTTGGATAAGTATTATTTCTGGTTACTCAAAATGTGGGGATGTTGATGCAGCTCAGGACCTTTTTAACCTTATGCCAAGGAAAGATGTGATTTCATTCAATTCCATGATTGCTTGTTACGCTCAAAATAGCCGACCAAAGGAAGCAATCCATTTGTTCAATGACATCCTAGAGAGAAAGTTGATTGATCAACCTGACAAGATGACTTTGGCTAGTGTTATATCCGCTTGTTCTCAGTTAGGGGATTTGAATTATGGTTCTTGGATAGAGTTATATATGAGAAGACTCGGCATTGAAGTGGATGATCATCTGGCTACAGCACTAGTAGACTTGTATGCCAAGTGCGGAAGTATTGACAAAGCTTATGAGTTATTCCATGGCCTTGCTAAGAAAGACCTAGTTGCTTATACTGCTATGATAGTAGGATGTGGGATAAATGGCAAGTCTCATGATGCTATCAGATTATTTGAAGAGATGCTAGACGTCAATATTTCACCGAATTCAGTCACGTTTACAGGGATTTTGACTGCTTATAACCATGCTGGTCTAATTGAAGAAGGCTATCAGTGCTTTAATATGATGAGTAAGTTCAGTGTGATTCCTTCGGCTGATCATTATGGAATCATGGTTGACCTCCTGGGAAGGGCTGGAAGGTTAAAAGAAGCGTATGAACTAATCAAGAGCATGCCAATTCCACCTCATTCTGGAGTTTGGGGGGCCTTACTTCTTGCTTGCAGATTACACAACAATGTTGAGCTTGCAGAGATTGCAGCACAACACTGCTTCAATTTAGAATCCGATAAAGCTGGCTATACCTCGCTTCTTGCCAATGTATATGCATTGAATGATAGGTGGGATGATGTTAATAATATGAAGAAGAATTTGAAGCGTATAGGATCACCAAGAATTCCTGGTTCTAGTTGGCTATAAATTAGCATCTTCCTTCAAATTATGAAATTGTTATCTAATTTTCGCAACGAGGAACATTCTTTTGCAGTTTTCCTGACAGTGGAGTATTCTTCAGGTATGTAACATCTTAAAGCACAACTTGAGACTTGATTAGTATCCCTAATGTGTTACCTAAAATTATACTGCTATTTCATAACACCATATTGAGTACTGTTGACCCCCCATCTTTGTGTTATGTAAGAGGAGACAAAAAAAAAAAAAACTATCACCTTTTAAGCCTAATAATTACTCCTGCCATTGCCAATTGGTGTTAGGACGGATATGGAACTCGATTGGGCCGATTAGTGATGCAACTATTGTCCTCCTTTATGGCGCCTAGAGGTCCCATACCCCATGTATGAACACTATTTTGCAAAATTGATAGCGCATTCATTTGTTACATGACTAGCCAAATTCATTACTGTCTCTGATTCTCAGTAAGTGGTAGATATCTGTCATTAGATAGTGATTACTGATTAGTATACCTAACTGCATCGCAATTGGCAGTCTGTTTTGTATTATAATGAAACAGAAATAGTGTTTTCAACTTGGCTACAGATTTTGTTTTCCTGGTACAGTCTTCATTAAAACGTCCTGGGAAATGGATTTTATAATCGTGGTGGTGTATATACTTGCTCACATCACAACTTCTAGTGTATGTGAAAGGTTATAAATACTTAAATGCAAATAACGAATATATAAATATATATATATATATATATATATATATATATATATATATGTTTTTGCTATTACGTGGTGTTATCATTGAGAGATTACTCAATGATAAATTTCTCCCCTTACCACTTTGCTGATGTTTAATTGTTGCTTTCGATGATAAGATTTGAGAGAGACTTGTCATTTGGCCTATAATATAATGACTCATGAGATCTATGGAGTTGTCTACATCTTGATTCTTCTTTAAGGTTTGGGGAAAACAGATTTGGATGGTGAAACTTTTAAAATAGTTTTGGTTGGTTTAGATTAAGTTAATAACCTATGTAACATGTACTCAAATACCTATGTTTGAATGGTTACGTGTCTAAGTATCCAGCTTGGCTATTTTTTGAAAAAATTGCATGATTTTGAATTAAAAGTGAAGTATCCAAGTGTCATACTCATCGTGTGTCAAGGATCCGGCATGGGTACTTGAGGTGAAATGAAGAGTCCAAGTAACATAGTTAATAACCCCTTCGTCTCTTTCCCTAGTTTCGTAATGAATTAATAAATGTCAAAATATACTAACTCTGACCATAGTTTCATAATGAATTATTTTGAGGTGTAGTAGGGAGAAAAATAAACCTTACTGAAGTTAATTTACTTCTTTGTTACAAAAATCGATTGTGGCTTGTACTATTACATGATGAGGCTGAGGGTTGAAGGTGGTTAACTGATTGGTCGATTAGAACACAAATTAGTGGAAAACCACAATAGCTACTCGAACAAAGGTCACACTTCCTCTTTCTATCAACCAAACAACTCTGAAATTTTCTACTGTAATATCTATGAAGTATCATATATTCACGTGCACTTCTGTCTCAACCAAACAATCATTTGGTAAGGCTCACACCATAAGTTTGGGGTTGGATTCTTGTCAAGCGAGGGCGCTTGTGGTGGAGATTTTATTACTTTTCCTGTCTACTCTCAAGTATATGGCCCGTAAATAGTAAACCAAACGAACCGTGAAGGTTGTAGTGTGATTGGAGTTGTTCTCCTAGTTCTTACTACTACCTCCATTTCTTTTTAATTGGCACGTATTCCTTTTTAGGAAGTTTTTTTTTAGTTGACACGTTTCCTTTTGGGGTAACTTTTTTACCTTGCATTTACAAGCTACCCCACTTACTTTTTTATTCTCTTACACTCTCTCTCATCTCTTTAATATATGTACCTAAATCAAACGCGTCAACTAAATACAAACGGAGGTAATATTAAAAAAAAAAAAAAAAGGTGAGGAAATTACGCAGAAGTTACACAAGTCCAGCACCTGGTTGTATGTTCTTGTCACATGCATAACTGATTTGTATCGCCTAGTTAAACTGTCTTTTACGGCACTGCAGAAATTGGCGTTATGCCATGTTTAAATAATTGTCTTTTACAAATAAGAGTTTATAAATTACAATCACAGGAATGATCATGATTCATGAAATCCTTGCTTGTAATTGGTACAAATATCTATAATTCAAAGGTGTTGTGAGTGGTGGGTTATTAGATGATTGGAGGGTGACTCAGACTGAGTTGATTTAGCTGATGTTTTCATCCACCAAGTGGATTTGGACGGATTTTATCATTCACACAGTTAAAATTAAATTAATTGTTAATGTTTTATGTTGGTTAGTATTGTTAACTAATCTATTTTCCTTGCCTAATTTTGTGTAAATGTGTATACTTTAATTGAATCCGACATTTTACACTATTTAGTTGGGTATTTAGTTAAAAAAAAAAAAAAAAAAAAAAGGAATTTAGGCTATGTAGCAAAGATGTGTTTGTTGAGATGCATGTTTGAAATTACTTTTAGAGATAAATCAATAATGCTACTATTTGAAGGAAAGTTGAAATTGTGGACATTGAAGTTAAAAATAGAAGAGAATTGACTACATTAATAGGGTAAAGTTAATTTGGATATAATAGGAGGTTAAAAGTGGATATGCAAAAACGTGTAACACTAGATAAAACTAAACAAAGAAATACTCCGTAAAATTATTTTCATGTACTTCTATACACACAAGAAATGGACTCATAAATGACTAACCTTTTATACAAAGTATATAAGGCTTTAATATTACCTATTACGTATCAAGTATGTTTATTTTTAACTCTTATCGGTAAGAGTAAAGTCTTATTTTTATGGTACACAAATTCATGGGTTTGGTGCAATCTTTAGGGTAGAATGGTTGCTTTAAGGGAGGCAAATTGATTTTTCAAACAAATCTACACATTATTTACAAGTCGTAGCATCCCTAGTTTCTTTTGGGATCATAGTTTCAACACTAAAGATTTCGGTTGCCCAACAATTTGTCACCACACCATATTCTTCTAAACACATCGTGCGACTAAAATATAGTACGTATTTGTGTTCTTATTCTCCACGAAATTTCCTCCGTTAAAAGTTGCGCTGTTCATACCATTTTTTTTTTACATGCCATCCTCGTATTATGACACATATACTCAATAATATAAAGTTAAATATTTGTCTATAATATTAATTTTCTATGTTTATGCTTGACCTGTATCATGGAATGTAATTAAAGAGGTTTTTGTTTGAGGAGAGTAAAGGTAATTGTTCTCTTACGTTTTAGAGAGGTAACAAATAAGTGTAAACCATTACCCTTAGATAATAATTATTGTTATCCAAGTCCTCTAACATAACACTTGTAACAGTAATGGTTTAATCGAATTTATTTCAAATATAAAAAACACTTTGTTAGGCTATATAATGTATTTAGTAGTGTAATGTATAGTTAGCTCTTTGGGCTTTGTGTGTTTATAGGCCCAATTTATTTTTTTATATATACTCTTCTCTACTGTAATACACACAACATAAAATCAATTCCTGACATGGTATCAAAAACAGGCGAATATTAAAAAGCGTAAGCCCTAAAAGTGAATATTAGAAAGCATAAAATCATAAGTGATTTAAAATAAAATCACAGACTCTATCTTTTCGGTCAACGAAAAATTCACATATTTGATCAACTTATTTTATACTTCGTAAATTTCAAGAAAAACACAATTAAAGATTAATAAATTCAAATAAAATTGATATGTTTGGGCTTCGTTTTTTAGAGTTGCTTTGATCTACTCAAAAATAATACTTAATATGCTCTGATCTGCTTCAATCTGCTCTATTCTATTGATTCTGACTCTACTCAGAAGCTCAAAAGAACAGAGACTTGTAAAATTACAACGAGATAGACCGGAAATTGGACACACCGCCATTCAAGGGCAGACACCACAATTAATGTACAGTATTCTTATCCATATTTATAAGTTGAGTAAAGCAATAACTTGAGAAGCGTAATATAAGAGGAAGTAAGACCATTTATGCCTTCTAGGAAAAACAGAGCTTATTTTTGTGGAAAAATAACCCCATTACCAAGCAATCCAAACCATTAGATTTTTGCCCTTTTTACCCACCATTTTTCACACCATTTTCTCTCTCCTCAATCCCCAATATAAATCAAAACCCAAAAAAACCAACTAAACTGTCAACTTAAGCAACTTCCTCCTTCTTTCTTCTCCAAAGTCCAACTTTGTTACCCCTAATCTTTTCTTTCATTATCATGTCACCCGATACAACCACTAATGATCTTCGTCATCGCGGCCCTCCATCGGGCCGCGATCTCCGTATCCCTCAAAGGCTACTTTCGTCTCCGTCGTCGTCGCCGAAGAAGCCGAAACCATCAAGGCAATCCCCTAAGCCTAAGAAAGTAATGAGTAAATGTTATTCGGAACCTCTGATATTTCAGGGTGTTGGTGACGGTGATAATGGTGTTGATGATTGCCGGAGTTTTGATTCCGGCGAAAGTGGGTGGTTGACACGGTTTCATACGTTGGATGATGTATTGTCTGGTACTTCTGACGCAATCGACTCTCCTTTGTACCGAATTAATGCGGTATGTACACCTGCTTTGTTTTCTCTGTTTTTCAAAAAAAAAAAAAATTATCGTTTGAAATTTAATGCATTCATTTTTTTTTTATTTTTTTTTTTGAAATTTAATTGTTTTATGGTTAATTAATTTTATTTATTTTTTTTTTTTTTGAAGAAATTGCTAAACTAAGGAGTAATTATTATGAAAATCAATGTGTTTAGAATTTGAGTTTGGCAAATGGAAAAAAGGGAATTTAATTAAAAAGAAAGAGGAGTAGAGTAGCTTTGACTTTCCATTTCTTGAAATTGTGTGTTTTTTACACAAATGTGTAACCTACCAATTTTTATGAAATTTATACCACCTATAAATTTAGAACTTACTTTTCAATTGTTATGGATTAGTGATATCGATGGAATTTGATTTTGATTTGATTGATTTCTACCTCTAGACTTTACCAAATTATGGTAGTCTGTTGACATGCACGTTTTTAGAAAAACGTACCCTTTTAGAAAACGTACCCGTGAAGGATACTTGTGAAATTACCAAGTTTTGATTTCATATTTACAATTGTTGGAGCTCTCTGTCAGGCTATAAGCATGTTTACTTAGAGATGAAGAATTCTCCTTTCTTTTTAGTTGAAGAATCTGTCTTTTTTTTTCGGGTTATTTTTACATTGTGTGCTAGAGCACTTCACCTCAATCTTTAGTTTTAACATGTTAATCATGTAATTTAGGGCTGTCAAAAGCTGACACGACAACTCGACACGAAATAAGCGGGTTTGGGTTAAGAATTCTCGACCCGTTTAAATAATTGGGTCGACACGAACACGACACGTAATTAAACAGGTTAGGTTGGGTTGAAATTTTCAACCCAAAACCAACACGCATAACCCGATTATGTAAATGGGTTGAACGACAACCCGTTAACACGAACCCGACACGCTCAACCCGATTATTAAGTAGAAAAAGAAACCTGAATT